TGGAGCACGAGGGGGCGGCGGTGGGGGAGGAGGAGGAGGAGGTGGTGGCGGAGGTGGTGGCGGAGGGGGAGGGGGCGGTTCCTCGCCACAGCAACCACCCCCATCTTTAATTCGTGCATCTGTAAAAGAAAAAGACATATTTCCTTAAGCCCTGGCTTTAATCCCTTTAGTCGATCGACGCATATCAAACCACAGGAAGGATTATTGGTCAACGTATCAGTCAACCAAAAGTTCACAAACATTTCAGACCAATGACAATAACGATGACAATGACATACCTGGCTTCTGTCTTTGTCGGTACACATAAATTGGTACTTTATTCGCGTGTAAAGGAGCATCCCCAGCACTTAATGGACCACTGTTTATTACTTGCTGTGGTACCGCGGCCCCTGGATGACTTGTGATTTCTTTTGGGCCACTATTAGCAGCATTAATATTGGAATCTATAACTGGTTTGTGGACCAGTTTCAAGTGGACATATTTGCCTCGCTTGAAATCTTTGACATCAACGGCGTCTACTTCTGTTGACCTGAATTGGGGTAAAAAAAAAAATTTCTGTTAGTTTCTGTCTTTCTTCGTTCGTTTGTTTGTTAATTTGTTTCTTTTGTTATGCACTCTCAAGTTCTTTGTTGCTCTAAACTAGCCTCCACTTTGTGTAGAATATTCATGTGTTCTAATGAAGGTTTGTGGAATTTCAAAGTGTTTGTATTGTTGAAGTGGTGCATTCTTTACGTACTTCCCCAGGTTATAACCCTGAGCAAATTAGTCTGTGCGTAATAATCAAGTAACACAACGGTGACATTGAAAATAGTCTATTCTGTTTTATCATAAATTTAAAACACTACTTAAAGTCAAACTTCTATCTGTTTTGCCCTTCCTTGACTAAAATAAGTGCCCAGACGTTGTTGCAGAAGGTTCGATAAAACTGATGCTTTGCTTGGAAAACCTGCAAGGCCCGGTCCTAAGCAATCTCAGCTAACAAAAAGTACCTATAAATGAGGCAGAACTTGAACCCTGATCCTAACTTAGCTATAGCGACATTCGTTAAACTAAAGCTTTCTTAAATATTAATATTATCAAGCAAAGGATTAATATATGTGACTCGTTATTCAAAAAAAAGTCTTACCTCTTTTCAAAACTTCTTGTCTTAATTCCTCTTTCGAATTCATTTAAATTAGCTTTCTTGTCTCTAAATTGTATAGTTTCATCAAAAAAATATGCTTGCACCTGGATACGAAAAGCTAAAACAAAACATAAAGATTTGACTTGGAAAAGCATTTCTTGTCGAATTCATCAGCCCTTTCAAGGCATTTAAGTCTTCAGTAGAAATATGCCTGTGCTCCGACGAAGTTCATCTTCTTGAAAATCTCACATCTCTCTATTAAAATACCAACTATCCTAACAGTCTTATAATAAATATATCTTCAAAAAACTCAATCTCAAGTGGAATTCCTTAACGTCTAAGCATCTATAATTAATTTCATATTAGTTGAACTTACTAAACCTTGAAACCAATTGAACGGTCACCCGTTTATAATCAAGTGGATTTTCTTACTCTAATTAAATGCTTCTTTGCTTTAAGCTCAGATTTTGTGCATTTACCGTGCTCAAAGCTATGATATTTTAGCATTATACATATGAAATTGAAAGAGTAGAGTCGAAGTTGTATTTAGAATACATAAACTTTCATTATTCCCCTTTGGTGTAAAAGTACTCGTACCTGCTGCAAAGAGACAGATTTGTGCTCTCTGTAAATAAGTACATGAAACGTTTTCCTATTTTAGTTAAAAAATGTTACATAAGAATACATAAAAGATATTATAAAATAGATTTAAAGTGGATACCGGTAAAAAGAAATGTCTAGAAAGACTTCTTGCGCGTGAAAATGTTTAACGCTTAGAAAAATTTGCAGGTAACTGGCTGCTAATCAGAAGTAGTCAAATCAATGAGTTTTATTTAGGATACAAATTATATTCGGTGGTTTTATATTTTAAATTGCATTCATGTGAAATCACAGGGAAATACGGCCACGCCCTATTGCTATCGAAATCAAACATTTTAATGAGATAGATATAGATATTTTTCAAAGCGTGTAAAGCGCCTGCAAATAGCTTTCAAACTACTGAGTTTTCCCACCGATTTGAGCAAGGTTTCCGAAGCATTTCAATGGCGTCCACATTCGCTGAGACTTAAGTATTATTTATTTGAAAAACCTTACTGGAAGAAAAACAGTAAATAAAGAAGGCAATCTATACACATAACTCATATTTTAAATAGCTTTTGAAATCAATCAAATTTTTAGGTCAGGCCTAGAGTCTTCTAAATACATTAGCCCTCTGCAACGCGCATGTAAAACTCTGTTTAAAACACTGCTGGTGATGTGCTGTTAGAACTTGACAGACCAGCAATATAGCATGTGGTGGTTCTTGGGCTGCCTGTGGATCATGCGTACTGGGACACAATGGAACAAATGTGAAAAACGTGAGATAGCTAGTGGGTTACCTGTGTAGGTGATGTGGTGGGCCTTGGACTACCTGTGGTACATGCGTACTGGAACAACAAAAAAACATGAATAAATAAATGTGTTAGCTACTGGGTTACCTTTGTCAGTGATGTGATGGGCCTTGGGCTTCCCGTGCAGCATGCGTAAGACAAACTGAGTAGAAGTAGACAGGGCTAAAAATGTATGCGCATGCGCCAACAAGAAAACAAACATGGCTGCTTTTTAAGAGAAAATAATTTAAGGGCTTTGGGCAAAAGATTGACTTCAGACTTCAAATGAATCGTACGATGAAATACTGAACACAGATATTTCTATCGGTATTTGGTGTCCATCATAGTACTTTAAGACATTCATGTAATAAAGACATTATTTTATATAGACTGCAGTCATGTTTATTCCCTCCAGATCGATCAGAATTAAAGCTTTTGTTTCTGCCTTTTCTAACTAATCCCGAAGTGCTTAAATGCAAGGATAGCTGGTCAAAAAGTTATTGTTCCATGCAACATGGCTACCGCGTGAGAAACGTCTATAACTGCCTTGTCTCTCTGTGCTTAAGATTTTAAGGGTATTCATTCTCAAGGTTGCGTGCGCACCCAAATTTAAGGAACTTGACGGGCCACGATACCGATAAGAATTCATAAAATCGAATTCATAAAATCGATTATTCTCCTCTTTAAATATAAAACTGGCTTCTCAATTTTAATGAATTTGCGTTTTTCAGTTTTGTGGCCCGTCAAGTTGGATGCGCACGCAACCTTGAGAAAACCGTCTATCGAAAAACATCAAAACCAAGTCATTCAAGCATGAATACTCCTATGCGCATGCGCTTGAGAAGTACATCTTTGACATTACTAATCTCGTACCCAGAGCCTGCGTTTCGTCTGGCCTGCGGTGAAGAACGAGGGCTCTAGCATAATCCATTTTTTGAGGCCAGGATTTCTTGGACTTCCGGTATAAGAGCGCACGCGTACAAAAACTTGCCAAAAATTAAAAATATTTTTTCCCGATTTTTCTATTTTACTATGATTTTTACTTTGATTTTGACTTCGATATAATTTTTACTTTGCTTATTTTGATCGTTTATATGGCTTGTCAGATACTTCGTTCTTCGCCGCAGGCTCTGGGTACGAGATTCAGTGACATTACTGGATTAGACATCTTTTCAGATTTAATGCCCAATGCTTTCCCCTCTGGGCACAGAATTATGAAAGAAAATAATTCTGGCTTCCCCTATTTCCTATATATTAAAAAAATACTAAAGGATATTCGGGTCGTTTAAAATATTTTTCTTTTATAATTGATGTGGTAGATATATTGAGCGGCTGAGTTAATTCTCGATAAATACAAAGATCAAAAGTCACCCTTTCTAAGCTGGTAAAGTCTTGACCTTTAAGGCTCTAAATAGTGAACTACTGACTTTAATCAAACTAAATGTTTACCAAAAACAACCTTTTCTTTGATCTCTTGTTTACACAATCACTCTGATTGACAGCTATGAATTTTTGAAAACCAGACGATGTGATTTAATTTTGTTGTTGTTAAGATATAGGTCAGTCAGTCAGCTAACGCATCCTTCTTTGCTGCTATTTTAATTTCATATAATGAAGCTGAAAGTGGTTGTCACTTGTTTGGCCGTTATTCTATTCTTTTTCACACCTGTAGATTTGAAATCCGTTACTAAACAAGGTAGGTTATGCTAATGTATACAAAACTGCCTTTGAAATATTTTAAAAATCTGTCTCTCTCCCCCTTTACTCTGCCTGTCTCTACCCCTTTCGCTTTCTTCTTCCCTCTCTCTCTCTCAGTTTCTATTCCTCTCCCTTTCTCTCTTCCTTTCTCTCTCCCTTTCACTTCTTTTCCTTCATCTAATTCCGCAATAATATAAAACCGACAAATCGATTCACCCTTATTCTTTGGACCATAGATGTGCAAGACCAAGAAGAGAAGCAGGAACAGTCAGTTGTGAAGACGGTATCTGAAGAGCTTCAGGGTTCTGGAGCAGGAAAGGAAGGTACACAATAGTTTTATTATAGCTATCCTTAAAGTTTGAAATAAAAATATATATAGCATGAGTGGTTCCAAAGTAACTTGCTTAACCAAATTGAGAAAATAAATGCTTGTTCAAAATCTTATTTTCCAGAAGAGGACACCGTTGATTGTGACGAGGAAAAACTAAAGAAATGTAACATTCTTTGCAAGAAATCGAAGGCAGTCGAAAAGCGAAGCACTCACAATGACAAGACTTGTGAATGCAGTAGGCAGATGTGTAAGAACGAGGACCCAGAGAAACGACGAAAAGAGTGTGACGAAAAGACGAAGTGTGACGACAAGACGAGGTGCAAGAAATGTGCAAGTCATTTCCATGCTACTGGAGGTAAGAAGGAAGGCAACTGCACATGCTCCAAGAAAGCTTCTTCTCCCGTCATGCAACGCGTGTTTAGTTTCCCTGCCATTATGATTGCACCAATCAAAGGCTACAATACACCAGAGAAAGAAGTACAGGGAAAGAAAGGTACAGCTTCGAAGAAGTGCTGCTGCCACGATTGTTGTTGCTGTTGTTGCGAGCCTTGCTGCTGTTGCCACGAATGTTGCTGTTGTCCATGCTGTTGCTGCTGTTGTGAGCCGTGTTGCTGTTGTTGTGATTGTCATCACTGTTGTCATCACTGCTGTGATCACTGTTGCGATCACTGTTGCTGCAAGAAGTCAGGTGCTCAGGGAGCCATTAGACCAGGACCCCAGGGTGGCAAGTGAACAACGCAATCTCAATAACTTGATTCATTCTCTAGAGATAAATAAGGTCAAAACAGCAGACCCGATTAGCTTGGACCTAATGTTTCTATTTCAGACCATGTGTCATTCTCTTTAGTTTAAGTTCTTTGTTTGAATTGTATCCATATTCATATGTCTTTTCATGTGCAACCGTTAAACAAAGAAATGTTATTTTTGGGAATGACACGTGGTCCGGAACGGGTAAACATGCCCAAGGTAAAGAGTTAGAAAATTCTATTGTTGTTTCAAGGGCGCTAGGACAGACGGATTGGCTTATATATCGGTATGTTTGTTTCACATATTCATAGATATTAAAAATAATTCACTGATCAGTATGTTTGTTTCTAAATAGATACTAACCGTACGAGACGAATATTTACCGCTGCACTATCCGTGCAAAGGAGCGCCGGCGTCGTTTCGTTAGCGATTACTTTCTTTAATAAGTTAATCAAATTTACCTTCAGTGCAGAAAAATACAGTAAAATATTTTACTAGTACAGAGATAGTGCAGCGGTAAATACTCAGAGCGTACAGCTGATTCAAACCAGAAAGACCGTTGGTTGGAAAGAAGGTTTACTTCTAAAATAAGTGAGCCGTAATTAGTATCTATTCAGAAACAAACATACTGATCAGTGAATTATTTTTAGTATCTACGAATAAGTGAAACAAACACACCGATATATAACCCAATCCGTCTATCCTAGCGCCCTTGGTTATTTTATGGTGAAATCATACGGATTTTGTCTTCAAATATATCAGAAACTATAGTACAAATGAATGTACTGTTGTAAAAACCTTGGCACGAGCCAGTACACATTACCCTACGGCCTGGTTTCTGCCATGTTGTTGCTATGCAGAGAAGAAAAGTAAAACTTATTTTTCACCAAGGACTTGTAGACTATTTTACTATAAGTGTCTGTTTGCATGTTGATATACAAAGTATCTGTATGCATTTTAATGTTAGATTAAAAAAATAATCCAGAGTCTTTCTACCCAACTGATTTGTAGAATATCCCGCAAATCATATGCACATACTAATGACCATGACTTCTATTGCTATATATGCGTCGTTCTTCAAAGAGTTCCGACAGCTGAATATGCTACCCACCTGGAAAAGTTTGGTTAACTAATATAACTTCGTTTTCGCAATAGAAATACCCATCAATTCAAAATTATTTTACGACGTTGAAAACGTACTTGCCACATCATCTAATCTTAAAACTCATTCATTTAAGATAGCTTTTTCTTCGTAATTTAATTTCGCGCTTAAAACAGACTTTTTTTTAATTATCATTATTATTATTATTATCTGGCTTTACAAAAAACGTGACACTGTTGCGTGAGGAAAATCGACTCACGATTAATTTTAATTTTTTTGATTGAAAAAAATCTAAGCTTCGAAAATACTTAAAACATTTCATGAAGACTTTTCTTGGTGATACAAACAAAATATCCAACAAACAGTTTTGTGTGATGCTGCAATTTAGATTTTAGCTTTCTGATGACAAAATGTGAATAGATTTTTTTTTTTTTTTTGGTGTATTGGGCCCCCTGTGGAGAGGGTGTTCCCTCAATAACAAACAGCAGCTGCTTTGCAAGCAGACCGTAAAGGTCTCTTGCATCAGTTCAAATGGAGAGTTTGAAGGACTTTTTATCTCCTACCACATTCAGTTTTTACGGCTATATTGTAGCTGTATTTTGTGCTATTGGCGTAGCAGCATTCTCTACAAGTATAGGAATCTTGAGATCGAGTGAAAGACGAAATTTTCACTGTAATGTTGGGTCAAGGTGTCCTGCCCTTCAAGGTACTTGTTTCGATCAGTACGACCAACAGTACAACATGCCTTTACCTTTGTGGGGATTTGTACCCTCATCCTTCTTAATTCTGACATTGATTAGCATCGTTTATAGCACGTGCTGTGTTAAATCTCGAGTAGAAGAAGTAGAACGAGCCAGCAAGATAGATACGGAGAATCCTCACCCAAGACAAAGAATAACAACTCGAAGAGTCTTCAACTGTTATCTTACTCAGCTACTTGTACGACTCATTTTGGGCATTCTGTTCATTGTATTACAGAAAGTTGTGCTTTATCCTTCTGGTTTTCCTACTAGTTTCGTTTGTGAGAAGAAGTTAACGGAATCAAAAGTTCCAGAGGCCAACATGACGTTTAACAATTCATCTTTTATCGACTGTACGAATTCCGTGGGGTCAGACAAAGATGTCTATGCAATGACAGCGTGCATTGTTAATACGATATTTGCATGTTTTGTTGCTGGAGAAATAGCATATCTAATAAGAAAGGCATGTTTGGATAAGAACTTTATGAATGACGGTGAATTTTGTCAAAGGCATTTGTTTAATAGAAGAATAACTCCAAGCAGAATGAATGAATACACAATGAGACAACGCAGACGAATTATTAAAGATACACAAGTATTAGACCCAATAGTTCCTCCATCACCAGGTGAAAATGAAGGCTGCAAGAACCTAGATGACGTGTATGTGAACCTTATCATTCACACTGGAAGAGCAACTCCTGATTTAGACATGGAAAGAATGGACAAGCTTAGAATAATGGAAGAATATGTCAAATCTCCAAAAAATTCAATTAGACTTAACAAACTGGAGGATTTGTTCGTTCCCAATGAAGACAGCAATGATCCTCGTAAAATTCTTATTGTTGGCTGCCCTGGGATTGGAAAAACTTTGTTGTGCAAGAAACTCTTAAGAGAATTGAGTAAGAGAGAGGAGAAACAAGAAGAACCTAAAAAATTTCGTCTTTTGTTTTTATTTCATTTTAGAAATTTCAATTCTGAAGAAATGAAAAGCATGTCCCTTCAAACATTACTAAGTCATAGTGTTTATTCAGAGGGAGAGCTAGATGCAGAAATATTTCAGTGGATAATTGAACACCCTGACGAGATACTTCTGGTGTTTGATGGCTTGGATGAATTCAAAGACCATGAGAAGTGCATGGATGAGGAGAATAGACATCCTGGGAATGGTGTTACAGATGTTATGCCTTTTGCTGCTCTTTATGTGAAACTAGTTACAGGCAAAATCCTCCTTGGAGCTACAGTGCTCACAACTGCAAGACCTTTTGCAATAAATAGCGTTGGCGGTCTGAAATTTGACAGAGAAGTAGGAATATTGGGGTTTTCTACTGAAAAAGTGAAAGAATATTGTGCAAAGTTTTTCCAGGATGACGAAAGTGTAATAGAAAGAGTCTGGCAGCATGTTCAAAGCAATTTAAACCTGTTAAATTTATGCTACATTCCTGTTAACTGTTTCATAGTTTGTTCTCTTTTGAAAAAGATTATGGAACTTACAACCAGCTATTCACAAGGTGCTGTCTTGACAACCACACTTACAGATATCTATGAAGGAGCATTAAGATTGTTCATTTTCAAACATCACCCTGAATATCAGGGCAAAACTTTGAAACGGAGTGACCTTACATCTAATGGGACATTTTCTAGTTCAGTAGAACAAATGCTGTCAAAACTTGAGAAATTGGCCAAGAAAGGAATTGATGAGAAACGACTGGTATTTGAATTAGAAGAAGTGCAGGGAATGGAAAACTGTGGATTGCTGAACCGCTTGCAAGATGTAGAAAATGCCCCATTTACTTACAAGCCTCAATTTTGCTTTATCCATTTGACAATGCAAGAATTCGTTGCTGCAAGAGGAATTGCAAAAATGGATCCTCAAGATATCCAGCAGTTTATATCTTCAACAGCTAAAGATGAAAAATGGCATCTGGTAATCCAGTTTGTGGCAGGACTACTTAGAGGTAATGAAGCCGTTGTAAATGAAGTGTTTGTAAAGAATCTTCAAGATGGCTTGTTAGTCAATAGTCATGACAGAGACAATAGAAATATGGCTTTACTCATGATGAAATGTTTCTATGAAGCAAATGATATCAGTTCTGCAGAGAGAGCAGCTGCTGAGCTCAAGTCAAACAGTAAGTTCACCAATCAAATTGAATTTGAAAATCTCAGTCTTTCTCCAGTTGATTGCACTGCAATAGTGTATTTTGTCAAACACATTGATAATTTAGAATATCTTAATGTTAGTTGGAATCCATTGGGAGATCGTGGGTGTTCAGAACTCTCAAAGTTGATTAAGGCAGGGGGACCACAAGCATTATATCTCACATGTTGTGACATTAGTGATCAAGGCCTGATTACGATACTTGATGCAATGAAAACAGCTGAGACATGTAATCTGTCCCAGTTACATCTCGATGGAAATCCTGACATATCTCAAAAAGGTTATTCATACCTTTGTGATGCTCTCATGGATGAAAAATGTAAACTTACAGGGTTATCAATTGATGATATACCTGAAGGTGAATTAATGAAACTTATCAATGCATTGAAACACAAAAATTGTAATCTTACTAAGCTCCACTTAGATAAAGGAAGCAATGGAAATCAAGATGAAAGTATAAGTCAAAACTTATATAACGCTCTTGTGGATGACAACTGTAAGCTGACAGACCTGAAATTAAGCTTCTCTTATTCATCTTCATCTATATCACATTTATGTGAAGCAGTTAAACATAAAAATTGTAAACTTACTAATTTAACATTGATACATTCTATTCTGAGAGATGAAGACATATTATGTCTTTGTGAGGCATTGAAAAGTGTGAGTTGCAAATTTGAAGAATTACATATGGTTGGTAATGTTTGTGATATATATTATTTAAGCATAGTTAATGATCATGAAATTATATATGGATTACCTAAAAATACGAATAGTCAGATATTTATATCTGTCTTCAATGAAGGTCTTTGCATCACAGATGCAGATGTACCACACCTTTGTGATGCACTTATACACAAAGACTGTAAACTTACCAAGTTAAGTCTTGTTTGTCCAGCCTCTAATTCCCTAACAAAGCAGGGTATTGAGAATTTGCAAAGTGCCCTTACTCATATAAACTGTAAAATCAGAGAGCTGACTCTGTACTGCGGAGATGGCCCCTGCTTACGATTACACAGCTATAC